TCTCCATCGCTTATGAGGTAAGTAACTTCCGTAACCGAAAGTGTGTTTTGCCAACATAAGAAATTGAAAGAAAAGCCAAATTTATCAAATAAAATACTGCCTAGGACGAAATCATGACGCACCATGTGTGTCAGCGGTCCGGAACGTGTTAATTCTTATGACTGAAAGCAGATACTTTCACCATTTCGCAGTCTCTCAGAAGTTCAGAGGTTTCAACAAAGTGACCTCTGTTACTTTACATGAACTAACAAAAACAGGCAAAGCGCAAAAGGCCCCCTCTAAGCCATACAACGCCGAATCAATTCTAGAGTTTCACTCGCTTTTACTTGATGGGCTAACCTGCGCTGAGCAAGGGTTTAACTGGATAACTCGTAGAGTGCCAGAGGTCTGCTGTCTACAGACTTGCGTATACTTTCAGGCATCACATATGAAGTACAACCAAGGTACTGTGATTAACCTCAGCAGAGACAAGGAAGCAGTAGCGTACAGTGGTTCTCGAGGAAGTAGCTCGCCTGGTCATTTTAGGTAAATAGCTTCCAACGCAGTTTGGCTTGGTGGGGGCAATAAATGGTGCAGTACAGAAACGTTGTGGAGAATTGTAAACTCTTGTAACCAAAAGCGGCTCACTTGTACCATTTTGGAATTTCACAAGAGTTCACTGCTCTCACAAAAATCAGACCCATTAGTTCTTGTGAACTAGAAAAAAGGACCTAGCGAAAGTGCAAAATGCCTCTCCGAAGCCAAGCAGTGTCTGATTTTCTACCTGACTTTTGAGTCATTTGTGCAAATAATCCAATATTTTCTGTTCAGAGATCTCGAACAAGAATACTACAGGGAGAAGCAGAGAAATAGAATGCTCGTTATTCTGGCAACATTGGCGGTTGTCCTTATTCTGGTAAATATAGGATACGTGAGGTACATTGGTTTGGTTTCTGTTGGGAAATGTATAAAATATCCATCATTTGCTACTTTCAAGTTATTTGCGGCGCAGTCGACATGCACGGCTCTCTACGAATCTCGTTGCCGACAAGGAACTTTGACAGTAACCTGTAGCAGTCATGTAAATTCAAGTAGTGTAACTATTAGGACCGAAATCGTGATAGTACTAGGTTCAATGGCTTTAAGTTTCTGGAATTGAATCTGGTTCCTATCTTTTAAGGCGATATTTATACATTGCGACAAAAAAAATCGCGGAACAGGAATCGATCGATTCCCGTCTATTCCTTTGGCGCCGTCCTCCCTTATTACGGCAGCGTTCAGACTTCAGCGCTCGATCGCGCTTTCGACGCGATCGATACGCATACTTTCGGCTGCATTGATCACGTCGAACGCGCGACCGAAGCGCTGCCAAGTCTGAACGCTGCCTAGTACCTCCCGCGATTCTCATATGGAGAGAACCCAGTCCAGTTCGCCAGATCGATACTTATTCTTTCCTTTGATGCACATTCTCCTCTCCTATTCTCCTTTATCGCGAAGTATGAAAGGGGTCATATCTACAGTCTCGTCCGCTGCTGGGGCGAGTCAGAGGAACTGGTTTGGCGTTGCTCTACCCCGTTCCCCACCAGTGTTGAAGACAACGACAACGGTTAGTGGAAAATAGGCTGGCGCCGCGCCAAACCCGTTTCGAGATAATGCCAAGAAATGCCCTCACAGGCCCTTAGTGTCCTAAGTTTTCGAGATAATGACCAAAAAATGCTTCCCGTTTCAATAGGGCGGCCCGTGAGGGAATTTCTTGGCATCCCTAAGTTTCTAGTGTCGGTAAATCAAAGCGAACCCCGAAATCAGCGCGGTTCTGCACGGATTCCTTACGGCTGTTTCGATATTCAGGGCACACCATGAGGGAGGTTTTTTAGTACGGCCCCTTCCCCCGTTAGAAAATCTTGGAGGCGGTCAAGACAATCGTAATTCGGTGCCTCCGTCGCGCAGGCTTCTTCTGTATTCCATGAATGCTGAGTCTTTTTCTAACCTCCAAAAATTGAGTCACGCTAGGTCAGGTTCAATATTGTTGAAGTCTTGGCATGTAAGTCGGTTTCTTCCTAGTCATGCTAGTTTTTTAGAGATGTAATTGCTTTGAAGTAGACCCGATTACGCCTTTAGGACTTGTATGTTGTTTTGAACGTCATTGTTTTTTTTTGTTGAAAAATGTTGTGCCGTGTTATTTTTGCTCATCGGTTGAAGTCAGTGTGATAAAAATGCCCCAAACTCTAGGCTGTTAGTGTTAGTTGTTTTTTGTTGAAATGTGATAAATTTTTTCATCATACTGTGTGACGTTTTTTCTTGATCGGCGACTTGTTCCTGGGAATTATCTTGAATCAATTCTGACTTCGTAATGTGATACACCCTTGTTCGATACGAATGCTGGGGCATGTCAAGGGCTTCGATTTGACCCGGCATCAGCCCATATTTCACCACTTGTGTCGCTTACCCGCTTCAACAATCGGTGTAGAACGGCTGCCGCCGCATCAGACCCAGCTCCCTAACACGCCCCAGCATCTGCAGCGCGACTTTATGTGGTTTCTCTCGGGTGCTATGTGTATTTCAGGTCCCTTTTGTTAGTTGAGTAAGCCTGGACCTATGAGAATTCGTGCTTTTTGTTGCACCCATACAGTTCGACAAGTGAGCACATCTTCATTATCGTGAGTTTTTTATAGTATAGTGCTTTCAAATTTTGATCTTGTATGAGGTAAATGGTGGGAAAAACGACTGGGAGAGGGGTAGGGGGGAGGATGCAGTCTGGAAGAGAGGTGAGTGCTCTGGCCTGATATGAGAATTTAGGGTACGGTCAGAGGTGGAAAGGATAACACCGGTTTCGAGGTGATGGCGTCAAGTTCTACTGAATGGCACGTGCTGAAAGGGCTCAAATAAGGGTGTTTGACAACGCCTGTGACGGCCTCGATAGAACTTGCGGGAGTCAGGACTGGGTGAAAGGCGGGGGGGGGTACCAAGTCTTTTGTTTCCGCACCAACTTTCGTCCTCGTCTCTTGTGTCAACCCTGTTTGCTTGCTCCTAGTCACGCTTAATGAATCCATTAGGTACGCATAAGGAAATCCGACTTGGCTTGCGCAGAAATTAAATGAACTCGCACGCCGGGGCGTTATGATGCACGCTACGGTACGTACACGTGCTAGTCGTGCGACGAGATTCGCAGCGCCGTGCCCCGCAAAGGGCATATCGTTGTTGGGGGAAGTTTTCGGGAAATTCTGGAAAAAGTGGCAGGAAGTTGGGGAAAATCTGAGAACTGGTGGTAGAAGGTAGGGGGGGATCATACTTCGTTTCAAACGGGGCACATGCTCGGCATTCGTAGCAAGACCGAATTGTCATGACGCGATGTCATGATCATCGCGTCATCACTACAGTACATATAATCAACTAGAAAAGACTCATTTTTCTTCGCTCCTTTAGGAGATTCCACCAGATTGCGCGCGATGCAGCGACTCGGTTGTCCTAGACTAAACACTTTTGAAAAGCAATCACGTTGAAAAATGTACAGGAATCGCCATATTTTCGTCAGCTAAGGTCTCAACGTTTCAGGAAAGACTACTACCAAGTTTTGGGTTTGCAGCGGGATGCGACTCAACGTCAAATAAAAAACGCCTACTATCAGCTATCGAAGAAGGTGAGTTTGACCCCCATCCCAATATGAAAAGGAAAACGTGTTACCTTCAGACATTCCTGCAAATGCAATTCAATCCTTATTTTTAGTACCATCCAGATGTCGCTGGGCGAAACGCTGGCACAGAGTCGAAATTCATTGAAATAACGGAGGCGTATGAATGCCTGAAGGATCCTGAGAGGAGAAGGATCTACGATGGTAGCTCAGTTGGACGAGGAGGGCGCTACACAGAGACGTCGTCTGACTTCAAGGTATTCGGAACTTCTTTCCCCTTGAGGGAGGAGGGAGCATTTTTGTAAATTCCTGCCAATACCAGGAAAAGATAAGGGACGATAAGGTACGCAAAAGAGTGATACCAGTTCTATTTTCGGTGACCACGAAGCGCAGCATTAAATGGTTGAGGTTAAGCGCTGACCAGTACTTGTAGTATGCGCCATGCGTTTGCATTCCTTTGCGTGTCCCAGAACCGTCTGAGCATGACTTGTCCCATCGTCGCAAGAAAGAAATGTTCGGCGCGGTTCGGTTTTGAGGGTGCTATTTTGCACTTCGGTACTTCCCATCGTTTGTTTTCCGGATCCAGATACTGACTTTGAACAGTGACGAACGATTCGATGTGTCTCTTGCCGATCGTGAAATTTTCAGCTAACCGGGGACTACCCCGGGCTTACAGGAAACATCCTGATTGCAATGGTTTAACCTCTTCATACCACGTGGCCGCTCAGAATTTAACTGGCATCATTTTGGGGCGCATCGTATCAGTCGTATCACACCTCGTGAATTCACAGAAATGTCCGCTCTCCTGAGAAAAATGTCTATTTTTTGACAATTCCTTATTTTGTTACTTGAAGTTATGAAGATTTCCAGCAGTACTATGGGCAGCGTCGAAACAACCCTTTCTACAGCAAGCGTTATACACAAGAAGAATACGAGCGGGTGATTTCATTTAATGCTTGCAAAGTGCGCTAAATAGTGAAGATTAGCTACAATGGTAGTTGAATAAGTGTCATTGATTGATTGTAATGTGGTTTTATATTCTGCTCTTTGTTACATGTAGATATGGGAGCAATTCAATAGGATGAAGGACTGAGAGAGAAGAATATGATGCACGAATGAGGCGAGAAGGAGAAAGGATATGGGAGCAGTTTGCCAGGGAACGTGCCACACGATGGCAACAGTTCCACTCAAGGTCAGAGCTCTGTTCCTTTGCTATTCCGACGTAATATAGCGAAGCTAGATTATGATATTTGTTTTTAGCGAAGCGCTAAACTAGAGCACTCTGTCGAGGCTCAGCCCCGGGGGGGGGGGAGAGAATAGCTGCTCCTCCGAGCTCAGCCTTAGCGGAGCGAATAGAGCAGAGTATAGTGAAGCTAGATTGATGTTGTCCCAACGAATCTTTTTGATACAGCAGACAGAGCGCTCATGGCTTGAGAAGGAACTTTCAAAACCACGACCTTCTACCCAAAAAATTGTTCAGTTATTTATCTGTAGTCCGTCCATCCCGCTGCTGCTCGACCACATGAGTCCGGGCTAAGTACACATCCTGTTGACCTGTAATCATTCCTTCATTCCACTAAATGACCTTGCTAGAATCAGGACACGCCTCGTGTTGGGGAAGTTTTTTGCAGAATCCCCTCTCCACTTCAAAATTTCCTCCTCCGCTACAATCCTCCTCTTTCGCCATACCCAGTCCTACCTAGGATTCTTAGCAAGTTTCTACAACTTTTTAGGCGTACTCCTACTTTTCACCAGAAACCACCGTCGGGGGGAAAGAGCCATAGCGCACATGAGACAAAAAAAAACATAAGAAAAACTGAAGCATTTCTTCCTCAGAGGCAGCTATTACCTCCTACCACTCCCCAGCGACCAAACGCAACCTTTCCCCCTCGTAGGGGATGCTCA